AATTTGTTTAGGTAGAAAATGTATGAAAAACTTAAATTAACATAGAAAATGAATTTTGGCCCAGCTATGTCCGTTTTGTCAACAATAATTTGGTGTAAGAACAGGTAAGGATTTGTCACATGTGATTGAAAATTTACTAAGAAGTTCCGGTTAAGTTGCACTGCAGATACCTGGCATTAGCATCCAAACAGAAAATTTGAAATTCTTAAATTGCATATATTAATAGCATTTCAGATAGACCATTGTCTACCATCATCCAATCAGCTGGTAAGTTATGGTATTACACAAAAGGTATTCTGGACAGAATTGTGTGAGAGAGAAGACAAATCATAGGTGATATTTTTAACTCATTTAAAATCAGTAATGGAAAAATAAAGAGGAACATAAAAATGATATCCAGAGTCTAATTGATCTGAATCAGAAATATTCAGCCTATGGGATCCCAACAATTTGCTAACTTTCAATGTTTAATATCACTTTAAAACATGTTTTTTGTACAGGATTTTCCTGGCACATGAATTGATTGTATGTAGAAAGAAGCATGAATGCACATTTAGAAAACTTTCAGCAAGCTCTTAGTAATCACAAAAAAATAACCTGAAAATTTTTAACGAAAAGCAAATACCATAACAGCCTTTTTAACCCCAGAAATAATGATAGGGTTGTATGGAGACCTTCAGGTTTTTCAACAACTTTTTCTAAACTATTTATGAATCAAATTATTTGTGGGTTCATGACAATTGGTTACGAGATATTCTGCTAATAACGTAAGAGTAACAGAGAAATAAAAATAATTATAATGTCAACATTACAATTAATACCACTAGTTACTGCTGGTGTATTTTATATAGAAAATTAATCATGAAATTAATTGTGAATTTTACTTCATATGCTAAGCATTTTCTTCTTTTGTTATATTTTGTGTTCACGTTGTTGTTTTATTAACTGTAGAAAACTGTAGATATCTTGTTTTATCATTGCAAAGCTACACAAACTGAAACAGAACACCATATCTACAGAGATTAAATAATTTATACAATAAACTTACATGTCCAGTTAATTTTTGCTACAGCCAAAATGAACAATTGAACAAACACAAGTTGATAATTTTCGACCAATAAAAATGATTTCTTTCTAATTCAAGAATTGGTCAATGGAATGCATCAGTATTAAGATCTTTGCTGACAAAATGGAATGACTATAAAATATATTCTATCACATTTAAAAGCGTTTGTGACATTGTTACAGTATTCATTTTACAAAATGGAACGTGAAATCACAGTAACACAGATTACAAACCATAAACTTGGAAATTTTATAATGACAAAATAATAACAGAGCACAAAACTTTGAGAATTAGATAATTACTTCCATAGTTTTATTGATGTCAGAAAAACATGTAGGTTCAATAAATCTTGATACAAAATGATAAAAAACCCTATAAAAGGTGGACCTTTCTTCTTCAGGGTCTACCTTTCAAAAGTGCTCGGGTTATAGGTTTTTTTTATCATTTTGTATTTTACTTCTACAGATAAACTGCCTCAACTGATATATATAACATTAAATGTACATTTTTACAATTTTTTGTTACATACAACATCACAACTATATTTTGTTTAGAAAAAGGATAAAGTTAAACAATTCTTATTTATATTTTTTGGCTATTTCCAAAAAATATAATAACTCAAACTTGAAAATGTAGCTCTTTATTTGCAAAACAGAGGTCCAAATGAACACCAATGCTACTTTCTCAAAATTTTGAATTTCTCAAAAGAGAAACTATATAAATATGTACACCATGATATTCAATAAATGATGCAATAAGAATACACAGGGACTGTTGGTCTTTTCCTCTTTAAAAATCTGAAAAACTACAATTGGATCTATATGGACCCCTATCTTGCAGACAAGTTGGGATTAAAAATATCAGCAATAAAAAATGTTGTTGTTGTTTTTGTCACACAGGGACTAAGGTCTAAAATACAATTGCTAAGTGCAACAAATCATCTACCAAAATTAATTAGTTTTGATAATCTTGAATAAAATAAATTATTTTGCAGAGAGCTAATTAATTATGGAAAACTTCAGACAATACAGTTTATATATATATATATTAAATTATGACTAGGTAATATATCTTTAAAAGCTTTTGGAAACTGAAAGATGAGTAAGTAAAATATTTTGATAAATATTAACAATAAATTAAATGTGAGAAGCACACTAGTAATAGTATAAATGGACAACTGATACAAAAATATTCTCATTATTCTTCCTAAATACATATTCTCTAGGCCTATAAACTTTACATACAAATAGAAAAGCACCAGTTTCTTATTATACAAGATACCCCAAAAAGTCCACTGGAAGCCAGCTTGAAGCTCAGTAACATCTCAAACACCTGAAAAACGTTTTTGTACAACTCGTTTTTCTTCTCATAATTCAATTACTTAAAAAGATTTTAAAAAATGATACTCAACTCAAAGAGGGAAAATAATACTAGTCTGTAGGAAGAACAGTTATTGATATGAAAAATAGTATAATCTCAAGTTCATTCATGTTAACAAAGTCCAATTTAATGTTTTAAAAATAATTTTTTTTATGATTCTATCAGCATTCTAAAAACATTTAGAAATGTGTTGTAGTGTGTTGTAACTATGCTAACATTTTGTTAACAGTTAGAAACGTATGTTATAGCATGTTGGAACTATTGGCCCACCTTGTTAAGAGTAATGTAAAATTCATGCAACTCCATGACGATATACATAACCGAAGGTACAATCTACATTTAAGTACACAAATCTTACCATTATATAATGTACATTAAACACCAGTGAAAAATATTTTTTCTGCATGGCATAAGTACCTTTTTTTTCCATCACATTTTGATGATTTTTTTTAATACTTGAAACAATTTAAGTGGAATCCAGGAGGATTACAGTATACTTATAATTTCATTTAAATTATATGGATGGAAAAAATATCCTCATTATATATATGTTTCTTTCTTCTTTTTTTTTTTTTGGTGGCATTACTTTGCAGAACAGCTCACTACCAAAAATAATTTATGAATAAAGAAAATTTGATAAATTCTAGTATAAAATTATTTATAGTCTAGGGAGTACCGACATTTTTGACACATTTTCTTCATTGTAATCAACTATTAAAAGACCTACTATCCAGAAGCATGTTAATTATAGATATGAATATAATTCAATAAGTAAAATAGAAATATTAAGAAAAACAACATTTTAAAACACACAGTGATTAATAACTCCAACCCAATGAATCCTTTTGTTGTTGTTGTTGTTCTGAAAGGCAATGTAAGTAAATCTAAAGTGAAAAGATCTGGTACTCTTTAAACTTCTTTTTAAAGCTAAAGTTTTTTATAGCACTAAGCATCTAAACTGTAGCCTTAAGATCAGTCAAGTTAGTATGACCATAACAGCTTGGCTACAGTAAACAAGTATGGCTCAGTTTTACCAAAGGAAGATGACATCAATACATAGTTTAGTTAATTTGAGGTATTTCTCTTAAACACTAAAACTCAATGGAATATAAATTAAAAAATGAAACTAATTTGCATAAGTAAGTAATAAGCAATCATTTGCCAATTTATATAACAAATCTAATCTCAATAATATGGTAAACCATCAAGTTATTTTCCTTTGTTTTAAAAAGTGGGAAACAAAAATAAAGGTACACTTGAAGTAAACTAAATTTAAATACTTTACGATAAGTTATAAACAAAGCAACTTAAATATGAAATTATGTCTACCAAAAAACAAAAATATCATTACACAAGCTTGAGTGTACTTCACATATAGCTTTGTTCTCTACAGTTTCTTTTTATATATAATACGTTCTTGCCCTATCTAGTGAAAATACCTGCACTGACAATCACAGCAGACACTTCACAGGATGAATACAACAATTTACAAGACATTTTATCCCAAATATCACCAATCTTGAACACTGATAAGCTTACAAACCACAGTAACACATTAACACAACATACAGTTTGTTGTACCAGATTTCTAATTTAAATCAATCAGCTTCCTTTACTGCTTCCACTTGACTTCAGACCAGAATGCATGATAGGAATTACCAAGTCATCCATGTTGGGTATCACCAATACTTTCTGTTGTAAGAAGAAAAAAAATTATAAAACAACTTTTTTATGTACACACATATGTGTATGAATGTATGTGTGTGTGTGTGTGTGTGTGTGTGTGTGTGTGTGTGTACATATATTCAAAACACCACCAGGTTTGAATTATTGTATTTTTTACTTACATTTCTTGGTTTCAGTAGGTTGGTAGCACTTTTACAATTTTAATACTGGTCTTCAGCCAGCATAAAAAAAACAATACATATTATATAAAATACATCATTTTTAACAAAATCAAAATGTATATATAAATACATCCCAATAAAAATATTCAAAATTGTAATATAAATAATGAATATGTATGATATAAAGTCCACAGACAATAAAAACTTCTAAATGTAACTTAAAAACAAATAAATAAATAAATATACACATATATCATAAGATGTCTAACCTTGGCAGCATGGGAGAAGATAACATTTAACTTGCATCATCATCTCCTTAAAGATATTTTGTCAATCAACTCTTTAAAATTCCAGTTATCTTTAATCTTTACTCTCTGAAGTAAATTTTTTTTGGGAAGTTTTGCTATTCTCCGTTTATTTTGAAACTCTTAATCTGTGTGATGTGTATCTTTACTTAGACCAACAAAGCTTGCTTGCAAAGTATACTTGGTAGACCATGTCATGGTTGTGAATATTATTAAAAACTGTTAATTTAAAAAGGAGGAATAGGCAGGCATGGACTGGCCAAACAAGACACCAAGAAAAATCCCTGTGGGCCCCATGGAAAAGTACATAGTTTTGTTATTTTTATGACAAACTTGTGGTCCTCTTCTAGCTTTTTATCTGGTAAAATTTTAGAGTTCAGTCTACTCCTGTGAATAGGGATTTTCAAAAAATACAGAAACAAGATAGGTAGCTTAAAGTGAAAATATAACTGAAAAAATTTAAACAAACAAGCTTAAGGTTTGAAACATAGTGTTGACATTATTTCCTCAAGCTACAAATCCCTATTTTGACTCCATGTCTAAAAACTGTAATATAAAATACTAGTAAAGAAGAACAAATGGGTGATCCTTATTATTAACCACTAACATGGTTCATAATACTACTCAGGAGAAAAAGTTCAATCAAATAATGTAATAAAGAAAAAATAAGTTTTGGTCAAAATACTATTCACCTATAATAGTCCGTAAAAACTGTAATTTTTTTTTTTCTATTTTAAATGCTTAGTTTTGAACAACATGAAAAATCAATATAATAACCAATTTATCACACATTCCAGTAGCACTTTAAAAAATTATTTAAGAATGCAAAAATGTATCAAAATATGTTTTAAAACCAACCACACTTCATGCACATGTACATAATGTAATAAACTCACTGACTGAGTATGTTATGAAACAAATTATATATCTGCATTATGGTGCATCAAAAATAGAAATTTTTTATATCATTATCTGCAGGGTATGCGATTGGTGGTTTTAATAGTAGTAATTATGTGGGTAAGTTTCAGGCTTCCAGAATTATATCTTGTACTGCCAGGAGTTGGGTTATTTTCCTTAAAATATTCATAATCAAAGTATATGAGAAATCAAAGTACCATAACTTTGGATATGCAATGTTTAGCTAATTTAGAAGTTTTATATCCTAAATTACCCAGAACTCACCATGAGGAGGTAAGTTGCATGTCAAGTTCCACCCAACAACCCTTCCACTGGGCAATAGAATTACCGGATTATGTATTGTTTCTTAGTATTAAATTTTTTCATGATTTTGCGAGATTGAAGTTTTGCTTTAATGAATCCCTTTCTTCTGTGATAGCCACAAACAGCTACTTAAGCTTCAGTTACTATTTTAACATGCCTTTCAACTGCTTGTGTGTGACATGGCATACTGAACTTGAAAACTGGTGTGTCATCTTGATTAATGAAAGACAACAACTGTTCATTGCTTATATTTTTTGTAAGTGGTGGCTCTACTCTCAGTCCACATTATTAGATCAGTGTAATGTTGTATTAATATTTGGAACCACAAACTGTCTCATTGTGATAGAATTTGAGGTAGATTAGGTAGCTAATATTCTATGAAGAGCAAGTTGTCTGACAGCCTTAGAATCATCTCCACACATTGCAAGCAGTGAATTTTCTGGGTGGGAAAAATATGCATTTCTCCGAATTATTCTAGCCACCACATATTTCTCCAATTCAAGAAGAAAACATGATTTTCTTACAAGTAGAAAAAGGTGCAGCAAGCCATGGCTGCATGAAGGATTTTTATTGATATTAAACCAAACTTTTGCATACACTTCAATTAATTATCTCACTAGCAAACTAAGCATCTTGAATGGGTTAGCAGTTACGACGTAAAGGTGCAAAATCCCGTTTGTTGTTGTTAACCAGCAAGAATGGTTCATTGTACCAGGGTCACATAAAGCAAGTTCTCTTGAACTATGACCCGACACTACCACATTGCACATGTCATACAAATATTTTTGAACTGCACTAAGATCCTCAGGATGATCAATATCTGGTAATGGTTGTGTAATTTCAACTGATACAAAGTTTACTGAAGGCAACGATTCACAAGTCTTCAGTTTCTTTCTAAGAGGACCAGAAAAAGCAGATGGTCATAGAGTTACTCTGTCAAGATGCATAATTAGATGATGCAGGGGTAACTCATTTGCATGTAACAAACAAATTAACCAATGAACAGGTCTTCCTAAGTGCAATTCAAGAAGCCGCATAACTCCAGCTTTTTTTCCAGTATTGACGTATGTGCCGTCACAACCTACAGAGATTAAATGATCAAATGAAATTTTGTTATCTTCAAACCACTGAATGATAGAATTTTTTATACCTTCTGATGTTCTGGTAGAAGAAGAAATGTGATCCATTAAAATTGATTCAGGTTCACTGACCAAAGTTATGTGCTGTTCCATGACTACACGTTTATAATGTTTTTGCCCATTTTTAATGACAATTTTATTTATATCTCTTCTATCATCAAAGAAGATATATGTAACACAATTTGATTCATCAGAAGTCAATAATGTTTCTCGGTATTTTTCTCGTTCACGTCGTATCTTATTTTTATCGACAACTTTTAGCATTGCCATTTTCTTGAATAATGCCCATATCTTCCAAAACAGCTGAGGTAAGGGCTGCAGAAGCTCTATACAAAATACAGTACCTGTTAGCTTCTCTCACTACTGTTGTCCTCATTTGTTTATTTATTTTAGGATTTCGATGTAGAAAGTCCAGTATTAGTAACATTAGAATCTTTTGATCTTGAAACCTCATGATTAACTATTTCATCTGATGGAGAGATATGCTTTTTTTTCAAACTTTGGTTCGCTTGTGGCTGTTGAAGATATAATTGTGATTTTAGGATTTTAGGATTTCAATGTAGAAAGTCCAGTATTAATAACATCAGAATCTTTTGATCTTGAAACCTCATGATTAACTATTTCATCTGATGGAGAGATATGCTTTTTTTTCAAACTTTGGTTCGCTTGTGGCTGTTGAAGATATAATTGTAGGAGTTTCATACTGCATAAGATTAATTCTTGTAATAAAAAGCAAATATTGCAAACCCTGCCGACAAGCAATTACAAAATAAAATTTTCAACTAAGTAAATTCGATGCACCCTAATCTGCATACATAAAAGCTAATGTATTTTCTATTTATCCTCCCTCCTAAACAATCACCTTTTATTCAGAGTGCCACAATAAAGGCTTCATAAGTTCAGAGAAAATATTTTATTAAAAGTCTGCTAAATTTTGTGAAGACATGTTTAGAACATTCAGAGTTATAGTATGCATAGTTTCAAGGTTACATAGTGGCAACAAGATTGGTCAAAATGACTGAGCCCGTATACATAGTTAAATGAGCAATTTTAATGGAGAGAAATCCACCTTGTATTAGATAATCTTTCCTTCTTAGTTATAATGATTGACTTTGCATATAAATTATCTAATTGCTTGCTATTGATGCTAAATATAACTTTTGATTCACACAGTTTACCTAGTAGTGTGCCTTTGTTTGGTATACCTTACAGCAGAGTGCATGGCAGAGATTGAAACAGCAACTGTTACATGATTTGTTTCTCTTCCTTCTCACGTAACACACAATGCATCTTTTTGTTAGGTTCTTTTTCTTTCAGGTATGAGATAGGGGAAATAATTTTCTGGTAGTCTACTTGACTTTGTTGATCTGTATGGTTTGTTTATTTGTTAAGCACAAAGCTACACATTGGGCTATTCAAGATGTGCCCACCATAGGTACTTAAATCCAGTTTTTAGCATCATATGCCTTCAGATTTATGACTGAGTCACAAGGGGGCGATCTGAATGGGCACCCAGGTTTTGGTGTATCATACGTGCCCCTTCTTATTCTGTAAGATTCATGATGGAATCAAGTTTTTTCAACTTCATGGTGGCCATGTTTAGTGACACTTGTCAGAGGAATTACAAATTCATGATGTATTTCAGAATAAAAATTAAGTTGTATGCCATCTCTGAGCGAACAAAGAGACAACAAAAATGGCTCAATGAGTTGGAATTATACATATTTAAAATATATATAAATATACATTTAAAATATATATAAATATACATCACAGGAAACCTGGGAGTCTCTCTTCATAATGTGTGTGTGTATATATAAATCTTGTGTACTTAATGGGTTCACGAATAGTTAAACAAATGTATGTGCAGTTTTCACTTACCTGAAACTCTGAAGCCAACTTCTTTTCAATCCACTCAGTAATATGTCCAATATTAACTATTTTTTCACCTAACTTGGGCTTTGCTGATATTGATAGCTTTGGATTACCACGGAAACCATACCTGAAAGAAAATAGAAACAGTATGATATTAAAAATTATTTGTGCACTTTTCAGCCTCAAGTAAACAGAAATGTATGTGAAACAACAATGTAGGCTGCATCTGGATAACAACATAAATGTACTGGTACCCTATGTGTTAAGAAAAATTATGAAAATACTATACTTCAGATCAACTTGGTCTTAACAAGCTGTTTTACCAATTTCTCCCTATCTTTACCAACTGTTTTTCTTTATAGCCATACCATAGAGATACAAGGTTCTTGATTTGTAATTCATATAAGTCCATATTATTAATTTCAATTTTTCACCTGTATAAAATCAGAATTAGTGCTTTGGTAATTTTAACTTATTTTGGAAGACCAGTTCTTAACTTTAAAACTGATCCTTTATCTCTCTTCTATTTGAAAGCTTTAATTGTTAAAAACCTCATAATTCAAATACTGAAAAACAACAATTCAATTACTCAAAATCTAAAAACAACTTACCAAAGTCTATCAGATGGTGCTGGAGGAATATTGAGTGCCAGTATCCCAACCACCCCATGTACTTCAACTGTAAGGTATATGGGTGTGTTTGAAATTTCATCCATTGCTCGTTTAATGTATTTGTTTTCTGTAGCTTGCTGAAAATAACGAGATTGAATCAACTTGTTCACAACTTTTAGAATTTTTTTACCAGTGTTAATGCTAGTCTTTCCACCTGCAGCCAGAGTGGTCAGCAACCTAAGTAATAAAAATAAAAATACAAGACTGATGCAATGATGTTGTTCAAAAATTCATTTAATCACTTTCTTTTGTAAGATTTCAAAAAAAAATTCTTTGTAAACAATTTTGATTAAAGCAAAGCAATCTGGAATTTTTAAATTTTGCTTGCAAAAAGTTATTTTAAATACATTACCAAGTAAAACAACTGACATCACTTTAGTCAGCTTTTTCCAAACTATGGAGCATGGAGTGCATCTCCTCCAAATGGGAGTGACAAAGAGGTTGAGAAAATAAAATATTTTAAGGGAAAAGAAAAATACATACATATACATATCTTGTCAGGAAATGATTGAAATGGGTTGTGTGTGTGTGAGAGAAGTGTTTTCTACTTATATTTGTGTATTATATATATATATATAAATACACACACACACACACACACATACATTTTGTATGTTGTTAAGTTATTATCAAATATATATATTTTACACTTATCCTTGGGATGGAAGCAGAAGACAAAATAATTTGGAAAACACTGACTTAAGTACTTTCTGAGTAGCGTGAACAGTAAAAGTAAAGCCAGATCAGAAACAGAAAGTTTAATTTTTGAGAAAGTAAGAAACCATTTTATAAAATTTTACAAGAACTATCTATATTTTAACTATCTATATAACAAAATAAAGAATAATTATAATTAAATATAGAATATTTTAAATCTTTTTTAAATAAAGTTGAAAAGCCTGTTGCTTAAAAATTCTACAAAACAAAAGATAAACTGTCCAATAACAATAACATGGTACATGTAGACTTGCATATAGATATAAAACATGCAAAGGCTTGACAAGAAAAAAAATATCTATATAAAGTGCAAAAATCTGTCTGTCCATTATCTAACTATTCCTATGCTGCTGGGCCAATCTCAACCATACTTTGTGGGATAACAGTTTGGAACAAGGGGCATGTTATTGGGGGTTAAAAACCACTCCATCCCCAATTATTGTTCTTATTGGGCATTTATTATCTTTGATGTAAGTTAACGTTAACTACATTCATAGATGGCGCTACATCTTTACACACACAAAATATTAAAAGTTTCTATAACACAACATACACAAAGTGTGGGGAGAGGGCAAACAAATGTCTTGTATATCTAAGAGAGTGTGCTAGAGCTCTCTATGAGGAATGCAATGAAAAAAAATGGCCACCACTATTGCATTAATACATAAATTCAGCTGAAGTTTCTGATCCAACAGCCATAAAAAAGCCGTTCTTTGACTTATACCAACTTCCTACATTGACTCGTGACCTTTCAACTTCGGCTTGTAAAACACTTTGCTGCCAATGACCAACTAATAATTAGCCACATGACATGCTATGGAAGGACATTAAGAGCAGGTAACAGAAAGCATCCCTAACACCACTACTTTGACTGCTACCACTTAACCCTTTAGAGATGGGTCACAAGTGAAAGGCCATGTCATCTTGTTTGTGACTCGCATTCAAAATTTTATTGAACTACTATTTCATGAATTTATGTCAATAACTTCAGTATCAAACTGTAGATTATAATTCAAATTTTAGTACTATATATATATATTACTAAATTTCTTAATTTAAAAGCAAATATTAAAAAACAAAGATAACCATCGATTTTTGTGTGTCACGTGGTATGTTGAATG